TGTTTATATTTTTTTTTTATTTCATGGTAACTTACAATAGAAATTACATACATTTTTTATATATTTTTTCCTCTAGACATCTGCTACTCCTACTCTGGGAAACAAGCAGTAGCAAGATTTGGTCTGACTTAGGACAGCTATTTTCATAATTTAGGAGGGAAAAACCCACCAAGAATGTGTAAATTTATTATTTTTATAGATGAATGTAGGAGCTATAACAAAGGATGAGTGATGAATGTTTTTTATCAAGCTGATTATATTTTCTTCTCATTATTTCCTTTTCTTGTATTCTATTTATAACATTTCAGGGTTGCACTTTGGGGGTGGGGGGCTGGATCATCTTATGAATATTTCATTTTTATGTTTGCAGTATTTCATTTGAAACAGGATTGCTAAAAAAAAGCAAAGTTTAGAATATTGTTTTGTGTGGTTTTAAGCCAAAGCACTCACATTTGCGAAGGAAATATATGAAGCTATGATTGCCAAGTTCATCCTCAAGAGATATTCTTTTTTTGGGCAGTATAACAGTACGTAGATGACAGATTTCAGTCAGAGACATTCAGTTCTACGCATAAAAGAACACCAAGAAAAGCTCAGAAATTAATCTTAATGTACGCTTCTTGGAGGAAGTGAAGGAAGGGCTCCAAATATTTGGCAGGATTTCCAGGTTCCATGGCTTCATTAGCACATTAACTCACAGGTCCCACACAGTGATCTGTCTTGTTTGGGATCTATTAGAGGGTGGCTACATCTTGGTTTCACTTCCTGTTGATAGGTTTGCTAAGATTTCAGCTCATCATTTCTCTGCCTCAGCTCATCATTTCTCTGCCTCATTGCTTTCTGTAAGGTGATATTGAAGAGTAGTGAATCAGATTGATCTTTTTCTTATCCAAACATATACGTGGATTTACTGGAGTGACAGAGAATTTGTTCACTTAAACCTCGATTTCTGTGTTTTTTTCACAGTAAGTTAGAACAATAAGTGTATGTTTGATTTATGGCTCTCTCTTATCTCCAGTATTTAGTTTTTCATAATAAGAGAGATAAAAATGTATTGGAATGCAGATCACAGAGGTTTCTGAGTACAGTCTGAAAACCTAAACATCAGAGCTTTCACTCTAGAGGCTCAATTTCAGTATCTGCTTTATCTTAATCTCTTTATCCAAAATCTTTTAAAGATGTTGACATATGCCTATTTGTCTACAGTTCTTTCAGGAAGAACTAGCATTTGAACATTTGGGCTGCTGGAATCCTGGTTCTTTCAGAGAGGAGATGATATACCATTACATGTTTACCATTTACATAATGCAAAACCAATTCAAATGCAAAACTAACTCAAAGGCATTTTTTACTGAATACTTATTGGACATCTGTTTATCTCATTCTTCACTGATTAGAGGTAATCCAAATACAAGATGTTATCACCAGACAAGCCAACCAGTGGATTTACAATACCATGATGACAATTGTGCATAGTTTGAATGCACACGGTTTGCACCCTGTTGAAAATGTGACATAACTTACCCTTCTCTTCCAGATGGCTGAACTGTCCCACAGTTTTGGTGGATAGGCATATGCACACATGCAAGTCCTATGGAAGAACTGACACTGTAAATTTATCTGTGGGTTAGTCAGTGCACTGGCACTCTGAATTTTGCATACTGGAACAGTATACATAACAGTTGCCATAACAATATACAAACTGAGGTATAGGATGGGATTGTAGGTCTGAGATGGCGCTAACCTGCCAGGATGCTGTAGTGTGCAAACATTCATCAGCAACAGGAGGTTTAACAGCATCTCCACAGGTTTGCTAGAATACTTTGGGAGGGAGTGCAAGTACACAGAAGCACAAGTTTTCTTTGTCAATCTCTTCTGCTCAAAGACTTTGCCACTGCAAGAATATATGGCATTTATTGTGGCAACAAACAGTGTGAAAAATTTGGTGCTATTAGGAAGAAGAATTAATTAAATGATCGTGTCTGGCTTAATGTAATGTCAAAACATACACGTGGGGAAAAATTAATAAGGGGCATATTAATCAACAGAAATGCAGGAGTTTCCCTTTTAACAGAGAAGTCTTTACATTTTCTGCCATGGGAAGAAGTAAAAGTCATTAATGAGTCCAGATTGTGGACTGTGAGCATTCTTTGTGCTGAATGTGTTCCTATACATATAACACACATAAATACAGTGAATGGTATTAGATGGACTTCATTTGGTGTAATTTAGAAATCACATTAATTCTGATCCAAATTATAGAATACATAAATTGTTCTTAATTTTAAAATAATTTTTAGGAGCAACTACATGCAACTCATCTTAATGAAACAATGCAGTGATAGGGAATAAAATCCATAAATCGAGAGGGCGCCAGGGCACTTGAGTCCTTCTCAGCACCTTCTCGAGATGATGTATCAATGATTTTGCAAACTGTAAATCTTCCAAAAGGCTTAACATGTGCTACTGCTTTTATTCCCAAACATGTAGCTAGGAAAGGGTCTCTAAGTGTTCAGAGTTAAGGAATTGTTCATAAAACCTGAGTTCTGTACAGAGAGAAGATAAAATGCAGGAACACAATAAGCTAATAAATACCAAGTAAAACATAATACAGAAAATCACTTTCGCATTTAACTTAGACAGGCTCAGTCAAGAAATGAGTTTTAATTTGTCACCCCAAATATGGGACTAGACGCAATAATGCAAGTCCTTAGATCATGTTAGAGACCAAAGATTTGTTCTGGTTTTTATTTTCTCTTCCTCAGATTCTTTTACCTAGAAGGGAGAGGGAGATGAGGTAAGCACTGGACTTATGCAGGACATAATATGGATAATTTTGTTGAACAAAATAAAAATAAATCAGAGCTACTTTCTGAATATATCCCTTTTTCCATCAGAACAAACTTCAAATTGTTGAGAGTTATTCCACAAGGTTTTCTGTGACATCAGACCTAATCACAACCTATTCTGCTACTTAAAAATATGGGACCGTGGCAACACGGCTTCCTCTCTCCAATCACAGGGCAGGAAAGCAACTGCAGGCTATTGCATCTGAATTTGTCAGAATAAATAATTAAAAGGCTCATCAGCTTCTCACTAATGAACAAGGAAATGTGATTAAGCAACTTTAAAGGAGAGTAGCTGAAAACAATATAGAAATGACAGCAGGATGATTGCTGTGAATGAGCGACTGAAATTTCTGAACAAGAGATTTCTTAAGCAAATCATGAGAATGGTAGTTTAATCTTCCATTAAAAGATTCCTGACAATTTGGAAAAACTCTGAATCAGGAGATTACAGACGTCTCAGAAACTGACAAGGCAGTGACTTCTCTTAATACAGCTACTTTCTGGCAAATGCTCAGAAATAACTTTTGTGCGTGTGTGGTTTTGGTTTTCCTTTTTACTGTTTCAAGACTCTTAACTTCTACCAAACAATGACTAGGACGTCTCTGACTAGGCTATCTTTTATTCTCAAAGACTCTGAAAATACAAGTCATCTTTCAGACCAAAATGTTCTAGAGATGCTTGCCAAGTTTACTGTGGCTAACATCTAGAAATTGTACTGATTAGCTTCTGGCATGGTTCCTTGCAAGTGCTTTGCATGCTAGTGTCTCATTAAATATCTTATTTCTCTTTATTTAGCACCAAAAATGTACTTCCACCTTATATCTAGTCTGTTTCTATGCTTTTACTGTCTGTTCTTCTAGCTTATCTAAAGGAGATAACACATAATACAGAAACTCGAAGAAAAGTGAAATAATAGACATCGGTGCAATTCTTCTGTATATCTGGAGAAAGATTTTTTTTTCCTTTATATACATTCATAAATGACACAGTCGTTTTATGAATAAAGGCACAAAAGTCAACAAGCAAACTAGGAAGGGTGGTTGTATCAGACTGTAGAAGTTTTCAGATACTCAGATATAAAAGTGGCATGCACAAAAGTAAGTGTAAGATTCATAGTTTAAAAAGAAAAAAAGTAAAATAAAATGTCAAACATCTTTTTAGTTACGGAAATGCTCATGTGCCTCAAATAGGATGCTCAGCATTACAGAAAATACTCTGGGTCTAAAACCCAGGCAGAAAAATGCTGTTCTATGTCAAGAGGTCTTTGAGGAAATGTTTCTTTATTTTTGTTTTGTTTTTTTTTTCTACATGATGTAGGCCCACCATAGCGCAATGCATAGTGTACATAATAGAAGCCACTTCAATAGGGATATCTAGCAAAGACACAACCTCTCCTCAGAGAGCAGAGATGTCAGGAATTCTCTGCAATTCTCTTTTCCAAACTACTCAGTGTAGAGTGGGAAAAAAAAAAAAAAAAAAAAAAAAAAAAAAAAAATAAATAAAACCAGCCACATATTTCCTTTTTATGCTTTTTCCAGGCCAAGTTCTGTGAAAACTTCTCTGCAAAGTTTCTCTTGAGCAACTAGATTGTGTGGGTATAGTCCATGAAGCATTTACAATGTCCTTTTTCTTCTACAAAAAAAAGTACAGTCTTGGAAGAATAATTCTTCATTATTCAAGTAAATTCCCTGTAGAATTACATTTTTACTTTTTCATTACATTTAGAATTTTATTATTTTATCTTAGACATAGCAGTTTACTTTCTGTGCTGTGTTAGGATTTATGTCTCCTTCCCATGATCTCCAGAGTTAGATCTGGAGAAAAACTTGCTTTTCAATTCATTTGTGCCAAAATATCTTAGTTTTATGTATAGACTGGAACTAAAAATCTTGTATTAATGTGAATTAATTTCATTGTAACTCTAGCTTTCTACAGTAGATTAATTATAGATAAATCCTTAGTGCAACAGTATTTCTGAAACTTCTATATGAGGAAAGAAACATTTGCAAATTGTATAAGCATTTAAAGAAACACAAAACTACCAATTTCATGCTAATTACCTTACAGCAACCCCATTCTGAAAAACCATCCTATTTTTACATTGCCCTAAAAATAATGCATCTGACATGTACGTGCACTTTTCTTTTGTAGGTGGAATGGAGAAAATAAAACAGCATACCTTTACATTAGCTCACTATACCTATACTGTGCTTTCTAACTTAAAATATGCCAATGGGGCTCCTGTAGTTCACATTTACAGTGATACAGACTTCAGCAGTCCTGATGTCCAGGGTCCAATCATTAATTTTAACGTGCTCAATGAAAACGGAGAAGTGCTCGGCTTTTCACAGGTATGTTTTTCTCTTGTTTTAACTTGAGTGTTATGATTGTATTTTAAGCATATTCACAATATTGTTCTTTATCCTAAAAGAAATATTTTATTCACAGTACTCCCTTCTGAGGTTTTGGTTTTGTTTCTTCATAGTTCTGCACCATATATACACACCATTTTTACAGCAGAAATAAAATCCAATAAATGGTGCTAGTACAATAAAAAGTACATAATAGCCAAAGGCAATATCTTACAGATTTAATACTCCACAAGTAGGAAGTTTGGAAGTGGGCTGTTTTTACAGGATATATTGACTAGGCAGTTTGATTTCTTGTTGGCTCCCTTCTCTTGAGTACTCAAAATTGGGAATTGAAGACCAAGTCTGGAAAAGCTGATAAAGAGAATGCCTTGGAGATTTGACATACAAGTGAAATATCTCAGAATATTGCAGTCACCAATGAAAGAGGAGTTCTCTTTTCCCTTCAGTTCTGATAATTACATTCTTGTAATATTCCTGAGGAAGCATGAAATAAAGTTAAATGATCAGTGTAAAGAGTGAGATTCAAGCTCAAAAAATCCTTAAATGCTGTCTTTCCCAGCAGTTTTTTCTAGCCTTTATCCATCAGGTATACCAAGTATCTTTGAGATAAAACTTCATTAAACTTTTCTCCCTTCAGTAGAGAGGTAATGGTGTATGACCATAATTGTGTGTATGGCTGTGCACCATGTAGGCGGTGGGTCATGTAAGATGGAGTAGCTCACTTGCTCATCAGCAGAAGTCAGAAAAACCACAGAGTTCTAGTTTTGCTTAATTCTTCTTTTCTTTTCATTGGCTGATGATTGAATAAGCCCACAAGTCAAGTTCAAGTGTATGGCCTTGATTTTTTAAAAACTGTCAATAACTGAGTAACTGCCAATAACATCTGTCTCGGGAGTTACCCCCCTCTGCCAGCAGTAGTGGCAGAGCTCCATTACTCCTGGAGCTGATAATTCTGGACCATTGGGGAAAGAATGGGAGTGCTGCAAAAGATGTTTAACACTATTCTGCCAGAGAGAAGAATGGGATAATGAGTGGAACATGGAGACGTCTATGAAAATACAAGAAGAGATCCTTATATACACAAGGGAAAACAGAATTGAAGCAGTTACTTGGTAGCCTGTCAGTGTGGAGTTTTACATTTTTTTTAAGGTATTTATCATCCTGATGAACATGGGATGAGCAAACATATACAGTACTCAAGATACTCTTCTTAACATACAGCTTTTTTCAGAAAATGCTACCAAACAGTGACAAATGTTCGCCGCATTTCATTTCAAAGCATTCCATGTTTTAGGAGTGAATTAGCCATTTAGATAATCTTGAATATGTATGGCAATGTTCCGAAAAGACTGGCGATATTAACACAACTGCATTTGTAAAACACTCGGAAAATGCTTTGATGTTGCTTCTGTTCTTTGGTTAAGACCAAAGCCTTTATTTTGATTTCTGATTTTCACAATTTCTTAGTAAAAATGGCTCATTCCTGTTTCACTTTTTTAAACTCAACTGTTCCCTTGAAGAAAAAATTCTGTTGTAGTCTTATGCCTCTTCTGTGCCTGTTTGCTGCAGTGGCTGCTCATAAAAAGTTTCTTTATTGATCTCTGTCATCTCAATTGTACTGTTCACCAGGTTCTTGTAATTTCTGGCATATGCAGTGTCTTTTAGATTATTTTGTTTAATTAAAACAATGTGCAATTTTATGACTTTTAGAGATTAACAAGCAGCAGCATTATTCTTTCCCAAGCTACAGTATGTGTGATGTATATATAATTGTCTTTATTATGGAATGAAATTCTTTCATAGACATCCTATACAAGTTATGAGGAAGAAAAATCTTTGCTACTTCTTCTTTATGATTACAAAGAAAATACATACATCAGAAAGTAAGCTTCATTGAAATAACAATATACAATCCCATCTTTATACCTATATGCATCTCTAAAATTAGATATGTTTATTCAAATCAAAGTTAAATCCATTACTTTCATTAATGTTTTGGAAGTGAAATAGTGTCCTCTAGTTTGGTCGTCTGTGGTCTGCACATTTATGTAGATTTACTGGGTAGTCTACAAATGCAATCTAATGGAGTTAGAAGAACACAGTTTCAGAAGGTTCCCAGAAAACATTTTTGGGAATTTTTAATGAAGGGAAAATTGGATGGTGTTTCTATCTGACATGCCTAATACTAGTGGACACCAATTAATGACTCAGGTTGTTTTTCAGCTAGTATATTAAAAGAGAAATGACAGAATGTCCTATTCCTTTATGGATGATATTCCACCTATAATTAATTACTTATAACCAGGCATCAAACCAGTTCTATTTGTCTTTCTGACAAGCAATTGTTATGTACCCATTGCCTATTATAAGGCACAGTGTGACTAGACATTAACATTTGGTAGCTTGAAAAGGACAATATGACTAACTGATTCCAGAGAAAATATTATGCTTGCAGCAGTTTATTTGGAACATTTGAGATTGGCAAGAACGACTTCATAAGTAGACACTGTCTTCAGAGGATACCAAGCTTACATTTAAGCCTCAAGATTTACATAATTGGCATGATATTCAAAACTCTGAACTAAGCCCAAGATATTTAGGATGTGAAAGGCGTGTAGTGAAATACATGACATTTAACACCACTGTTGAAAAATGAAACCTGAGAAAAAATTATGCCTTTCATCTGTGTAGCAATGGGGAGGAAAGCTATTCTTACCTGCTCATATGGTTGAAATCCATTTCTCAGTGTTATCAGGGTTTAATTACCATAGCTAACAAGGTTGTGCCACTAAACACAAACATTCTTGAATCACATACATGGGGTCAATTGCATCAACAGGAAAGAGCCATAATCTTAGGTTCATCTTTGAGTAAAACCACCATTTTAGCTGAAGATCAAAGGAAAGCATTTCATTAAAGTGAGATACACAAAGAGCCATACCATGCTTGCACTCTTAGGGGTGGCAGCAATTTTTACAGCCTCTTGTCCCAGTATATATGATATAGAATATTTGGATGTAAAGATGTGATAGGGTGGGACTGAAATAATTATGGAAGTTAGTTGAATTGCTATTACTTTTTCCTTTAAATGTTCCTTTGTTATTAATAAAGGGTAACACTGTTTTAGAATATTATACTTGGAATAAACTTGCGTTGCACACTATGTGTATCATTGGTTGAACTGACAGTTTAATTACTAGTCTAGCTATTTTTCTCTAAATGACAATTTAAAACAATTAAAGAAGAGGGACTTGCAGACTCTAAACATCAATAGTCACTCCAAGGCTTTGGTTTCTCTTCAGATTTTTCATTAAACATTTCTTTATTTAGAAATAAAACTACTACAGTTTTGAAATTTCCATAAACCTCTTGTCTTTGAGCACTAAAACTGCATTAAATTTCCCCCTTTGAGCTGCACCAAATAATTCCGATGAAAATTATTTCCGTCAGTAAAGTTGTCTCATAGACTACTGTTGGTAGTAATTTGTTCTTGAAATTACTTAGGAGGACACCTGTATTCTTTTCACAGAAGCTGCCTGTCCTCTGCAGCAGCACGTCTGTCATTTTGGTATGTGTTTATTTGCACTGAAGCACCAAAAAGCCCCTTATGAACAGGGGTTAAATTGAATACTTGACAGACCCAGGACATAAAGATGGCCTTTTTGCCAAACAGCTTGTTCATATATTCTTGTCAAGCTAAGAATAGATAATTCTCCAGCATTATAGTTTTTGCTGCTAATGAAGTGTGGACAGATGAGAGACTGGTGGTTTGGAAAGGTGTGAAGGTGCAGGGCTAGAGATGAAGGACCTCAGCTAACTCAGTGCTACAGGATGGAAGCAGCAGAGCTGATATTAAAGCAGCAAGTTGTCAGTCTTCTGCTTCCCTGTGAGGCTACCAGAAAAAGAGAAGCAACTAGACCTAGATACTAAAGGAGATTTGTGATGTCACAAAAAATATATGCTTGGTGGTGAGCTAATACTGCAGACTTTTCACACAGAATCATCATTAGCTCATTTATTAACAATGAGTGTCTGCAGCCTTTAGCATACATGAATGTCATGTGTTTATACATCCCCATATCCTTCCAACCTCTGGAACACTGACAGCAGTGACTCAGCTTCAGTTTGCGTCTTGGCCACCTTTTTTATCAAAACCTTGCACAGGACTCTACAAGGTTCCAGCCTGGTTTGAATGCCAAAGAGGTGTAAGGAAACAACATTGATTTGAAACATCAATCATACACACATAGAAAAAGTAGATTTCTTATAAATTGGGTCAAAGTGAAAATGTTGTTGAATGTTCTCTTCCATTTGCAGATGTAAAAAAAAAAACAACCACCATGTCTGCTATTAGCACCTTTTGTGCTAATATTATTTATAAAATTTTTCTCTTTGATAGGGAACAGAGACCTGTGAAATATTCTTTGTACATTCAGTAGATAATTGCAGAGTAATTTTATAATCCTTTCACATTTTGTTCTGTAAAGTAAGTATGGAAGCTGGAAGAGGGGAAGGGGGTAAGAGGCACAGATGGGCAGATGGAATTTCACCTGAAACATTTGTTGAATTGCATGCACTGGAGAGCTCTTAGCCAGTCACACCTTCCAGTTCAGTGTTTTCTGCCCCAAGTGAAAAATAGCCCTTCCCTTATCAAACTTTTTCTTTTTTCACTCTGATGTTTGAAGATAATATTTTTTTTCTCCTCCTGTACCTAACAGGCTTTAAAAAGTCAGGAAACCATCATAGCTGCCTTTTGAAAAATGGCCATAATTTCACATTTCATCTGTGGATTACCAGCACCCATACATGTTCTGTTTTTTCATACTGCCTCCTTTACTTGGAGCCTGAGCCTAAGTAGGAGTAACTTGCTGTGATTGGCTCACCTGCAAAAGTGTCTTGGTATATGTATATATGCTTGCATGTCTCCTAAAAATCCTGTCAGGAAGGGAATGAACATCAGTCCATTAGCAGTCTCAGCC